CCTCCTCTCCTCACCTCCCCTCCTCACCTCCCTTCCTCACCTCCCCTCCTCATCTCCTCACCTCTCCTCCTCACCTCCCCTCCTCACCTTCATGGACTCTCTGCAAGTCCAAGACCAGGAGTGAGAATCAGGTCTGGGATTTGGGCTAAGTGGATCCCCCAAGGCACAGATCTGGTATTGGGTGGAACCAGGATTCAAAGAAGGGTCCACTGGGGGAGGCTCCTGATTTATCAGATGAGCCTGAGCAGGAGGAGGCAGGAGAGGTTGTGGGGGGCTCCCAGGCCACAGGAAGGACGAGAGAAGGGCTCAGCTGTGGCGGAGACCCATGGCCGCTCCCCAGCCCAGGGACGGGCCTGGAGGAGGCAGGAGTGCCCCTAGAGGCCCTAAGTGTCCCCAGTACAGTGCAACCCGGGCTCCCTGCGGGCGCAGGTGTGGGTGCTTTGTGCAGACAGACGATGGCCGGGTGCAGACTTCACCCACCAGCGCCACCCCAGGCTGGGTTCAAGTCCTGGCTCCACCGCCCACCGGCTGCTGGACCTCGAGCAAGTTTCCTAACCCTTCTAAATGTGTCTTCTTATCTCTCAAATGGGGGTGGTAAAGACAAGGTCTCCCCCCCTGGGCCGAGGACGCCTGGCACAGAGCAGAGGTGGCAGAGATGGCGGGTTCTGCCGTCACTGAGGTGCTCATTGCTGTCTTGCAGGTCGCCTCCACTTTCAGACCAAGGACCCTAGAGGATGGCGGCCTCAGGGTGGTGGCCGCTGGTCACTGTGCTCATGGCTGCAACTCCTCTTCTGGCCCAAGGAGACTCAGAGCTCACGAACCCTGGCCCCAAAGACAGCCCTCCCAGGCCGGCCCTGCCCTGCCACAGCATCTCCGTGAGCAACATCGACTTTGCCTTCGGCCTGTACAGACGGCTGGCGCTGGGCGCCCCTGGAGAGAGCATCCTCTTCTCCCCGGCGAGCATCTCCCTGGCCTTGGCCACAGTTTCCCTCGGGGCCCCGGCGGCCAGCAGGACCCAGCTCCTGGAGGGCTTGGGGTTCAACCTCACCGTGACGTCCGAGGCCAAGATCCAGGGGGGCTTCCAGGATCTGCCGCTTAGGCTCCCCACGCGGGGGTCCCACCTGCTCCTGACCACAGGCCAGAGAAGCTTCCGCAGCCTGGGCCCCGGAGCCACCCAGAAACACATCAAGGAGTATGTGGAGGAGCAGACCCAGGGGAGACTTGGGGCCTGGGTGGAGGACCTCCGGGAGGAAGCTGCTGAGGTTCTGGTGAATCACGTGGCTCTCAGAGGTAAGTGCGCCTCCCAGGCAAGTCCTTCTGGGCCCCCGGCTCTGGTCATGCCCTCGTCCTGCTCCTCCCAACCAATAGAAGCTTCCTCGGCCTCCCTCGACTTTTGGATAGAAGGCACTCAGCGTCTGTCCACTGAACCCTGGGTGCTTCTGCCTGTTACCTGCAGTGATGGGGCTCCCCACCACTTCTTAATGTTAATTGTTGAGATTGTTTTCAAAGAAGAATCTCCAAACCTTTAATGTGCTTAAGAGCTCCCTGGAGAGCTCATCCCTAGGGATTCTGACTCAGTGGGTGGGCAAGTCCCCAGAGAACCAGACCCCCTTCCTCCACAGGGGACTCTGCTGCAGGGGGCTGGGGTCTTCCCTGTGCGCAGCCCCATGAGCCACCGCTGAATTACAGGGCATGGGTCCCCCTCCTCTGGAAGGTCCCAGGAAATGTGGGTTCACCAAGAGAGTCCTGAAGCAGAGGGTCCTTTATTTTTTTCCAAAAGAGCAAAGAGGCCTGCACTCCCACCAGAGGGGGTCGGTGTCCCTCACTAGCCAGTCCCGACTGATGGGAGGTTTCAGCCCATTGCTTTGGGCCCGAGCTCAGGCAGCGCACCAGGGCCCCTCCCCTGACAGAGCACAGCTGCTCACTCCACAGCCAGGAAGCAAAAGAGAGGACGAGAAAGAGCCTGGGGTCCCACAGTCCCCCCATGACCTGCAGACCTGCAACCAGGCCCCACCCCTTAACATTTTCACCACATCCCTCTGAACCACCTTGGGGACAAGCCTTCCACACATGGGCCTTGGGGGACATTCAAAATCCCAGGTGTAGCAGGGTGGTAGTACCTTTGCAATTGTAACACTACTAAATTATTGTAAAAACAGAAAGAGAAGAGCTCACACAGGACGAGGGCTCGGCCCCCTGGGGTCACCTGGGTAATAAGGGCCAGGTCAGGAGCGGGTCGTGGAGCAGGGGGGGGCTCTGCATCCAGGACTCAGTGCCTCAGCCCCACCCCAGCTGCCACAGGTGACCCCGGGCCCTCCTCTGTTCTCTGCAAGGACAATGTGGCTTTTCCCTCCCCCTCAGCTGAGTGGGCACAGCCCTTCGACCCCGGGGCCACCAGCCTGAAGGCGTTCTTCCTGGACGAGCGCAGGGCTGTGCAGGTCCCCATGGTGAAGCAGAAGGCCAGCCACCGCTTCCCCCACGACCCCGAGCTGCAGTGCACCGTGCTGCAGATGGACCACGCGGGGAACGCCACCACCTTCTTCGTCTTCCCCAACCGGGGCAAGCTGGGGCAGGTGGAGGAGGCGCTGCTGCCCGAGACGCTGATCAAGTGGGACAGTCTGCTCAGGACCAGGTGGGCTCCCAGCAGGCCGGAGGCAGGGCCTCACCTCCCTGCCCAGACCCCAGGGCGCTGTCACACCCCACGGCCCTGCCACTCCTGGGCCTGGTCACACCTGGCCCAGACAATGTCACCTCTAGGTGAGGTCCCTGGTCTCCCTGAAAGCACCATCATGGGCCCTGGACCAAGACGCTGGAATCCAGTTCTGGTCCCAGCTCTGCTGCAGACCAGGCAGCGCCCTGGACAAGGGCCTCCCTCCCAGGATCCGGGTTTCCTCAGAGGTGGAAGGCCAGTGACAACCACAGGGACATGTAAACGGTCACTCTGTTCTATGGTAGCACCCTGCCCGTGCTGGGGTCCGGCAGCCTGCACAGCAAGCCCCAGCCCAGCCGTGTCCCTAAGAAAGAAAAGGACCCAAGAGGCCTGGTGAGACAGGGCGTCCAGGAATGAGGAGCGGCCTGGCTGGTCCAGGGAGCCCGAGGGAGACAGGAACAGGGAGGAGTGTGGACAGGTGCACGGGCTGGAGCCCCAGGCCCTGGACATGCAGGCACGAGGCAGACGCTGAGCACAGGAGCTGGGCACCACAGAAAGCTCTCACCCTGCCCACGGCTGGCAGGGGGTAAGTGGGGCAGAGACCAGAGGCAGGGAGAGGCCACAGGGAGAGGCCGCAGGGCTGGTGGAGAGCTGGGGCGGAAGGGGCCCCCTGGGACTCACACAGGCCCTTCCCAGATCTGCTCAGCAAACCAATTTCTGTCTCTCCACAGAGAACTCGACTTCTACTTCCCCAAATTTTCCATTTCCAGCACCACCAGACTAGAGACGCTCCTCCCACGAGTGCCTGTGGGCGGAGGCCTCCCGGGGCAGCCTGGACGGGGCATCTCTAGGGTAAGTCCAGACGGGGCCCAGTGGGGGCTTCTGACAATCCCTGGAAGCTGCGGGACCCACTCAAGGTGACATGCTGTCTGCCTTAACCTTCAGGACCATGGCTTCGCCGCCCCCGTTCCACACCACTGCAACCCCCTGTGCCAAGATGCCGGGCTCTCTCTGGAGCTGGCTCAGGTCAGGCCAGGCCCCACAAAGGAATGAAAGGAAACCCACAGAGCCAGCCCCCTGCCAGGGAGGAAGCAGAAGGCAGAGATGGAGGCTGGGGGAGGGTGACAGCCTCGCCCCCACACCTCCCTGTCCCCTTCTCAAGGACATTCACCAGGCCCAGCCCCAACCAGGTGCCACATCAGCACCCCCCAGTGGACAGATGAGGCAAGTGCTGCCATCCCATTTTGTAGATGAGGATTGAGTTTGCAGTGTATTAGTTCCTGTGCTGCTTCAGTAACAGACTACCAGGGACCAGGTAATCTGTAAATTGACTACCTCATGGTGCCGGAGGCTGGGGAGCCCGAGGTGAAGGGGCTCCGCCTGGTGAGTACTTCTGGCTGTGTCATAACAAGGAGGAAGTCCAAGCCAAAGCTCAGAGAGAAAATGGGCCCAATCCTCCTTCCTTCAGGAACCCATTGCTGTGGTGACCGGCCCCTCGCCCGTGGTGGCATTAATCCATTTGTGAGATCAGAGCCCCCACAGTCTAATCCCCTCAAAGGCCTGCCTCTTAGTCCTGCTCCTGGCAATGACTCTCCACACGGGCCTTGGAGGGGCCAAGGGAATTACCCCCAGTGACCACGCTAGTTAGTGTCCAGCCAGGATCTGAGCCCGGGCAAGTCGTTGAGCACCGGGACCTGCATTTGTCTCCTCAACCAGCCCTGGGCACCTCCCCATTACCCGCATGTCACACACACCCCAGAGGGGACAGTGGGTTTGAGGCCAGGCAGGCCTAGGCCTGGCTTTGTCTCACCTTAGCTGTGTGGCCTTGGGCTACATCACCTCTCTGGGCGATTGGGACCCTGGACCCTGTCTCAGGGGGAACACCTTGTCCAATGTCACAGCAGCACAGGGTCCTCCAGCTTCAGGCTGGGTGAAGTTTCACACTCAGCAATGGTGATAAAAGAGATGTGATGGTGGAGTGAGGAATTGGTTGGCCCTGGACAGAGCTGGGGTACAAAGATAGAGCCGTGAGCAGAGCAAAGTTAGCACCAGGTGGATGCAGCGGCAGGACAGACCATGAGCACACAAACAGACCTGCAATAGGTCAGGTGGCAATAAACCCACAGATATAGCAGTGTAAGTGGGTGGGGATGGGGTCTGTCCAAGGAACACTAGTCTTGGAGTTCTTGATGGGAAAGTGACCTGAATAAGGGGAGGAAAGGAGTTCTTGGTAGAGTGCTCAATATGTGCAAAGGCCCTGAGGCATGACCACGCCATCCAAAGCCAGTGAGGCTGGAACACAGTAGACAAGAAGAAGTGCCGTGGGAGGTGGAGAGGACAGAACTCTTCAAGATCAATAAGACTTTGATTTCCCCAAGAGTGAGACAGAACTCCACCGAGGGCTTTAACAGAAGAGTGATGTAATGAATTCCCCTAAGTTAGAAAAAGATAATAAACTATACAGGGGTGAGAGCACAGAGCAGCTGAAAGGCGATGGATGAGGGGGAACAGGTGGAGCTGGGATTTGGACCTGGGCAGATAGTTCCCAAGTCCAGGCTTGTACGGGTGTCCACAGTGCCCTCAGGAGGCTGTGACGGCTCTATAAATGAGGGAGATGGTTCCCGTTCAGCTCCTCCCAGTCCCGTTTCTCTTGCACCCAGAACTCGAGGCCCCCTGTGATCTTCTCTCGACCCATCAGCTCACGGGAGGGTGATGTGTGGTCACGGACCTCACCTGTGACTGCCGTACCCATCACCTGCAAGAACTGAGCTGGATCCTAGAGCCAGGCCCCGCCCTCATTCCGTGGCCCCGCCCTCATTCCGTGGCCCCGCGCGGTGTCTTGCTGGTCCTCCTTAACCTCTTTCCTCTCTAAGCACTCCTTGGTTTCCATGGAAGCATATCCTTCAGAACTCTCCTGCCAACTCCAGGATGAAGCCCCCTCCTCACTGATCTGCTTCCTCCCTTGTCTCATCCTAGCTACCTGGCCAGCCCTGTCCCCTACTGTCTCTGCCGTACCACTCCACGGAATCTCATGGGGCCATAGATGTCCTCAGCTTCCCCCTCCCTGTCTTGGCTTGGACTTTAAAACATAGGGAAAAAAAACACCTGAAGTGTCTTCACTCATCTCCAAAAATCCAAATTCTACCTCCTTTGTGGAGCTTCCTCTGACCTTATCCCTCACCCTTGCACCCGAAGCAGAACCAGTCTCCCCTGGCAAGCCCCCGCCCTTGGTTTTCGATGTCTTCTCTGCCCTATCAAACAACAAGTGCCTTGCGGGAGTCGTGCCCATAGCCCCCTGCTGTGCTTGGCACTGTGGATCCTATATACTCCATAAATATTTACTGAATCTATTCATGAATGAATTAGGGATGGAATGAATGGAAACGAATGATCAAAATAATGTGAATGAAAGAATCAGTAAAGGATGGGTGGAAGAGTCGTTGTATGGACACGGGAAGAAATGAGTGGAGAAACGGGTGGGTAGATGCCGGCGTGATATTCAAAATACACTGCAACCTGCATAATGCAGATGCCAGCAGTGGAAACTTAAACAGAGGGGCAGAGAGGTGGATCGGGAACAGAGGGGATCATGTAGGGAGGATGGATGGGTGGTGAGTGTATGGGTGATGCGTGGAGGAGGGGGGGAAAGATGGACGGATTGTGGATGGATGGATGGATGAGGAATGGATGGTGGATGGATGGATGGATGGATTGTGGATGGATGATTGATGGATGATGGACAAGTGAATGAGTGAGTAGATGGCTATATGAACACATAAGCAGTAGATGAATAAAGTCACAGTTAAGCAGATAGTTGACAGGTTAGGTGGATGGATTATGGTTTGCAACCATAATCCTACGATATGGCCCACGCACCACAACCTCTGTTGCAGAATCAATAAATGGGTCAGTGGATCAATGATAATGGACAGGTGTATTTAAGAGTACTAGGTGGATAGATGAGTGAATTTTTCAAAAGGCAGATGCAAGGATGGGTGATGGGGTAAGTGGATGGATGGACAAGTATGAGGTCATGCAAAGGAAGAGAAAGAAAACTGGGGTTGAGTGATGATTCCAGAATTTTTTGTACAGGTGACTCATAAGGCCACCATGACTCTGGAGGAGGAGGGCTCAGAGGCTGCGGCCGCCACCAGCATCCAGCTCACTCCCAGGCCCCACCCTGACCGTGAGCCCCCCACCCCTCCAGCCACTGGGTTCAGCCGGCCCTTCCTGGTGATGACTTTCCACACAGAAACGGGCAGCGTGCTTTTCCTGGGGAAGGTGGTGAACCCGCTGGGGTAGAGCTCTGCACCTGCTGGGTGACTCGGAGCCAACAGAGAGGAGACACTGACTGGGACACGGAGTCATCCGTGAAGACACCCCGGTGACGTCATCAGGTTGTCTGAGACTGGGTCTCTTTGTCTGGAAGTGAAATGGGAGCTATTTTGCCTCAGTGGAGAGGGCGCGAGACCCCTTGGACAGTTTCATGCAGCCACAAAGATAAGCCTGGCCCACGCACCACGACCTCTGTTGCAGAATCAAGTCTCATGAGAAGCGGCAGATGTCCAGCTCACTGGCTCGGTTTTCATGAGTATCCACAGGTGCAAAGAATAAGAGGAATCCAGGCCATGCCCACCATGTGCACACAGGCAGCGACCATGGATGAACTCCCTCTGTGCAACCCTTGCTTTATAGATCGTATCTCATTTAAAAATAATATCTCTCAGCAACCCAACGAGTATGAGGTGCGGTCATAGGAAAGTGGCTTGTATTTGGCCCATTTTTAAATTTTTTAACCTACAAAAAAGGGCTCTTTCTTATGGTTGAATCTAATATTATTTCTCCCTTTTCATAGTTGAGGATTAGAGAAGCTGAGAAATAAATCCAAGAGGGCTCAGCAGCAAACAGCAGTCCTGGGATTCGGGCCATTTTATTTCAAAGCCTTGACTGTGTTGTTCTCATCCATTTTGATGAGGTAATGATTCTCAAACTCTACTGTACATACTGACCCCCTGGGGATCTTGTTAAAAAAGCAAAACTCTCTTCAACAGGCCAGGGTGGGACCTGAGGGCCTGCATTTCTCAGTGATGCTGAGGCTTCTGCTCTGGTGGCCACATGTTGAGTAGCAGGTCCCAAATGCTCTTGCCCCTGTAACAGCAGGAAGGGAGGACCTTGTGTCACTAGCAAGGCAGAAGAGTGGCACTGGGTCTTTGATCCCCTTATGGAACTGAGCAAAGTTTCTGGCAATATCTGTTTGAAATCTGCAGACAAAGCTTGCTTTAGGGTCACCTATGAATGGGTGTCCTGGGGGAAAACAAGTGTTCTAAATATTTCTCCTGGTTTTAAGCAAACCATGGGTGTGTATCACCCTCCACCTCAGCCCTTGCATCTGAAGGGAGCCACACAGGCCTGGGATCAGACACATGAGAGACCAAATCCCATACCTGGTGCAAAGCAAGTCCACTGAGGACCAGCTTGACTGAGTCCACTGAGACCCATGCAGACAGGTTACACTAAGCTGGTGTATTACAAACAGGCAGGAAAGGGTAACAGAACCCTGGGGTCCACTGTGAGCTGGTCCCCCAAAGCCTGGCAAAGCTGCTTTGTCTGTGCATGGCCCACTTGAAATCCAGGATCTCCAGCCTCATCTGGATCCTCTACCCCAAGCCCACAGAAGATGTTAAGCCAAAGTGCTTACCATGTTTGCTGGGCGTGGTGGCGCACGCCTGTAATCCCAGAGGCTGAGGCAGGAGGATCACGAGTTCAAAGCCAGCCTCAGCAAAAATGAGATGCTAAGCAACTCAGCGAGACCCTGTCTCTAAATAAAATACAAAATAGGGCTAGGGAAGTGGCCCAGGGATCGAGTGCCCCTGAGTTCAATCTCCAGTACCCAAAAAGCAAAACAAAACAGAACAGGTGTTTCTAAGGAGAAGTAGAGCAGAGCCCGGTCAGCCCTGGCCAGTCTTTCCCTATCCCAGGCCACTGCTCTCCCTGCACCTTCTAGAGAGATTCTGGAGAATTACAAGTGAGTAGGAGGGGGGAGAACTGGGTCTATGGTGAGGACTGCGATGAGCTGGAGATCCCCTGCCTGATCCAAAGGGGCACCAGTGGTTAGCTGCCTATGAAAGTGGCTTAGACTAGTTTGTATTTGTCCTCACGTGCCAGGGTGGGCTGGCGTGTAGTTCACCCAGGCATCAGGAGCCCTGGCTGGTGGAGCATGTGGGTCTGCCATCCCAGGGGTCTTCTCCACTTGCATGCTCGCAGAGGGCTCACAGCGCCTCCAACTTCCAACCAGCAAGGAGCAGGCAGAAGAAGGGGAAGGACAAACCCATTCCCATGAATGATTCAGCCCACAAGTTACACACGTCTCCAGCTCATACCCCAGTCACATGGTGCACCCCGCTGCAGAGGCAGGAGAGAGAAGGAGCGTCTGTCTCAGATGACCACCTGCAGGACAGACCTCAGGGCTTCTCTTGAGAAGGAAGGATGAATGGCTGCCGGAGAACCCCTGCCTCAGCCTCAGCCCCCGCCAGCCTCCGGAGGTGTCTCCTGCTGACCCTGTGGGGGTGGAGGCTGCAGCAACTGAGGCCTGACAAGAGCCCAGGGCAGCGGAGCCCCGGCTCCTCGGCCCAAGAGAGGCCAAGAGCCAGAGCCAGCAGAGATCCCAGCACAGGATGGGCTGGCTCTCTTGAAGGCCCTTCCATCATTCATTCCACAAGCATCAGCTGAGTGCCTGTGGGAAGCCATTCTCGCACGTGATTAGTTACCTCCCTGGCTGGGTGAGAGGCGCTTAGACAACTGTGTCGGAGCCTTCCCCACCCTGTCCCAGGTACGAGGGCTTATCTGTGTGGAGGTGTGCCTGGCCACTGACCCGAAGACCAATCACTGACCCTGACCTTGGAATGCTGGCCCCCTCAACCTTCATTGAAGTGCCTGCTGTATGCCAGGCACTGGGCATGTGCTCACAGAACTTAAATGATGGGGGTGAGAATGGAGGTAGGAACCCACCCTGCCAGAGAGCCCATGGAGAAGACAAAATCATTTGGCACCCAACACCCCAGTGAGGAGGGCCCTGATACCCTGATCTCAGCGGCTGCTTTAGGGTAGGGTTTTGGGGCATATGGTGAAGAGTGGAGCTGATTTTATATTTTAAGAGGAAAGAAATTATAAGATCAGGCCAACATAGCATGTTTGGAGGAATGGTCAGAGCCCAGGGGCTGCCATCTTGGACCCCAACACCCCTGGACAATTCAGTCTTTCAGAGAAGAGTCCAGCAAGAAGTCCAGCCTGCACCCATTGGTCCTACCAGAACACCTGTCTTCAGGCCCATGATGTGTAACACCCGGAGGCAACAAGTCCCTAATAGTAGAGGAGCTGGTGACATCTCCATGCCCGCCAGTGACCCACCTCGCCCAGGGGCACAGCCACCTACTAGTTAGGAGCGAGTTCATCTCCCTGCTGGGTCTGTACTTTGTAGCACATTTCACTCCTCCATCTCTGTATAAATGGTCGGGAAGCACCCTCATCATGCACGGGGGTGATGTTAGCACCTGCCCCACAGGGTGTGGAGGTGGAAGGAGTCAATGAAGGTGAGGTGTTTAGAGCTTTCCTCACAACAGGTCAGTGCCAGAGGAGGGCACACTCCTGTCACCACCTGAGTGGTTGGACAGTGGCCCCAAAAACGTGCAATCCCTGGGCCTGTGACCTTGATTAGAAAAAGGGTCACCACCGGGTCTCTGCGAGGACTGAAGCTCGGTGCACCCTACCTCTGCCCATCTCCACTGAAGGGACTCATACTGCTTTGTCCCTCCAGTTTGGCCAGGCTCCTGGCCCAGACCCACACTCTGAGAGATGATGTGGTTCAGACATCTCACAATACCTAGGCCAGGAGGGGCCCTCCAGCTGTCATGGCCCCAGAGTCCTGCAACGAGGAAGCTCAAAGGCCAATATACCTCTGGGACCAACAAGCACAGGTGACATGGGACAGACCATCCTGCCACACTCAGGCTAGCCAGAACTCAAGGAGCTCACGGCAGAGGGGGAAGGACTGTGCTGGCCAGAGGTGGGACAATCGCGCCAGGACGGAGCAGATTCAACCCAGGAAGGACAAGGAGAAGCCAGTGGCACTTTGGAAAGACTGTGGGGGCCAGGGGAGCTAGGAGATGACTGGATGCCAGCCACCAGCTGTGTGACTCTAAGTGGCCTGGTCACTCTGAGCCTCTGTCCCCCCCTTGGTAAATGGAGGCCAGGCACTGTTTCAGAACTTGAGGGGTATTCCCCCGCCCTGGGAACCCTGCCTCAACTAGGGCTCCTCGCATTTGTCAGCCGAGGAAACTCAGGGACAGAGTCTCCCAAACAGAGGTGAAGTCTGCCTCCCTCCAGATCCCATAGCACCCCCCAAGCCTCTTCTGCACCCTGAGCCCCCTGGCCTGTGCATGTCGGCAAGGGTCCACCTCTGGCTCCTACAACAGACGGAACCGCATCTGAGCCAACTCTGGATCTGCGGGCGATCAGGTCTGGCTGGAACCCACAGCAGACCTGGGCGGTCCCAAGAGCACAGAAGGGAGCAGGGGAGAAGAATCCCACCCTCACACGCATGCACACGTGGAGCATGCTGGGGAGAAGGACAGCAGAGCCCTGGACGTGGCTGGCAGAGGGAGGCAACCGGGAGACAGGACAGAAAACTTCACAGACCCCCAAAGCAAAGCAGGAAAAATTGTTTCCAGGGAGCTTGGAGCTGGCCTTCTGCCCCTACAGTGCTGTCACTTCACGGGTCTACAGGTCTCCCTGAAGATGGAGTCAGAGGGGTGGCCCGGGCCACGGGGGCCTGCCGGACAAGATCTCACCAAGCCAGCCTTGGCGTCCCCTGACTGCCCTGCTCCTGGGGAGGGCGACTAAGGAAACTGGTCTAATATGGTCAGCAGCACGAGCCCCAGATGCCCCACTGCTCATTAGGAGAGCCCAGAAGGTGTGGCCCTTAAAACCAGCTGGCTGTGCCCGTCACACGTGGGGCTCTGCCTACTGGACCCAGGGCTGGCTGAGCCCCCATACGGAAAGCTCCCGGGCTGCTCAGAAGGAAGTGCATTGGCAAGTCAGCTGGGCCTCTGAATTCCTCTTTTCTCCCTTTATTATAAACAAGAAATTTTAGCACGAGATCTACCCTTTATTCAGGGCACAGCACAGTCGTATTAGCTGCAGGCACAAGGTTGTACCGCGGATCTCTAGAACTTATTCATCTTGGATAATTGAGACTTTATGTCCATTGATTGGCTGCTCCCCATTTCCCCTCCCCCACCCCAGCGGTCGCCCTTCTACTCTCTGTGTCTATGGGTTTGACTGTAGTGGAAACCTCACGTAAGTGGCATC